TCAAATGAATACCAGACTGGCACTTTAATTTCAAAATTCTCCAGAACTCACCTAAAACAGGAAGGTGCTAAACTTCCTGTAAATCATGGCAATCAAGTCAACAAAAACCTCTGCTACGTATAATGAATCAATATTCAATGGGGGGCAAGACAGTGCAAATACAGAGTAAAAGCACTATTAAACTTAAAACTTTGAGAAACAAAAATATGAAGAAACCCCACCACCAGTAAACAATCAGAAAGGATTTGCCCACAAAAAAACACGAAAAATCAAACCCTGAAAAGAATTAATTGTCTCTAATCTTTGCTAGCCACCACAAAAACACCATGTATTCACAAAAGGCCAAGCTCAGAATGTTCCCCTAGTCTCATCTATCCCTTTAGAATCAGCACCCCACCACCACCACCACCACCACAAACTCCCCTTTTCTCTCCACCCTATTCTTTTATACCATGAATCAAAATGACCATTTTCACATAAACATGTAAGCAAATCTCAAAACTGCTACACATTGTTTAATTCTCCAGCAGCTTTATTTTTTTTACTCTTTACTGTATTTCAGCTGTGATAGAAGTGGGTTCACCTCCTTTTTGCTCGTCCAGGCCCCTCAACCCTCTTACCTCCATATACGAGTTTACAGTGTTTGGCACGCCAAGCTGACACTGTTGCCCAAAATAATAAATCACTCCAACCTATATACACCATTCATTTAATTTTCATCCACATTATACATTTGAAATTGTTCCAGAATATTCATGTTAATTAGTAATTAACATCTGCATAATCAATTAATTTATCATTAAAAAAATCACTAAAATCACTTTTCTCCTTTTCTATGAAATTTTTTGCTGGAACTACATCTATTGGACATGCTCAAATCGATTCCTTGGAATTTAATATATCACACAGAAAAAATTGTCTTATTTTCTATTGAGTCAAAGTAATAAATATATCCTTAAATATTTATCCTAGTCTAATGATATTTTTTAGTAAAAAAAAATCGAATCGAAAAATTCATTAGTATAAGACCAACCTTTGTGTGTGCAGCACGAAGAATCCGCTTGGACACGGTCTTCAATTATCACATAAGAAAGAAAACACGAGTAGTACAAATCCTACCTTATAATCCGAATGTTCAAAACCAATTCATTGTTAAAGACACCATGACAACATTTTTTTTCATTATTCATAGCAATTCAAAAATCACAATAATAAATCTGTAAATCACAAATCAATATCTAAAAATATACTAAGAACTCAAAAGTTCAAATTTAACTGGACACTACATTACAAAGCTCCAACACCCATGCTTGCTCTGCATTTCATTTTATTTGTATTAGATAATATGTGATTAACTGAAAACTTTAATACCTTTTGTCTCTTATTGGGCTGCATATTTATCCAGAAAGCATCTAAACAATGAATCAATATTAGCAATCAACAAAGGTTAAATCACAACATAGCCACAAAATGTCAACTAACTCAAGACTCAAAGCTTTTTGGATAAAAAACCTGTGAAACTTCAGAAAATCCCCAAAATAGATAAATTTAAACAAAAACAAGAAATCAGTATCAAGTTTAAGCCTCGGATTTGATGCCGAAGCAGAGAAAAAAGGGGATGGTTCAAGAAACTGTAAATAACTTAATTTTATAATTATTGAGATTCTACTATCAAGATAAGGACCCAAATTTTATAATTACTCATATTCTTTGCTTCTTAGAACCAAAAGATGAAAGAATGTCAATATTCCCTCCTAATGTCATGTTTATTTTCTTCTCTGTAAGAGCAATAACTTCATTTGTAATGGGTTTAGCCACCATCTGGAATCACGAGGAGCTAGTCAATAAAATCCATCATAAATAACCAATCTTGATACTTACAAAGCTTAAAGGGGTCTTCAAAAGCTGGGAACCAGATTTTGGGGATGTTAATTTTACAGTTGCTGGAGTCTTCAGAATCACTATGTCCGATTGAGAACTTGGACTCGCCATTGACTAACAAAAAACCCTAGATTTCAATGCTTCAATCTGGGACTCGGCGTCTTCAACAAAAGTGAAAGCAGAGATAGAAATGCGTGTTAAACACAACAAATCATTCGACCAATAGAATAAAATAAACACACTTTTAAAGAATATATTTAAACTGAGCATCTGGTTTCCAATGCACAAAAATTGAAATGGGTCCGTCACTTTTACCCGATCAAGATTTGAAGAAAAACCCTTTTAAAAAAATTTCAGTTTAAACCCCGATTTTCAGTAAAACAAAATAGAACGAAATGGGTCTGTGACTTCACCCGATCAAAGAAATCTTCAAATTCCCAATAATTAGTAGAACTAAAGGTTCCTATGGCATGATCTTAGGTTTTATAAAAACTAAAGGTCTTTACTTTACTAAGAATGAGGATGGC